TTTTATTTGAATCAGAAGAAAACCAGGATCAAACCATTAGAAGATCAAATCAGGCGCCTAGAACAAATTTGGAGCCGTTTAAGGAAACTGGGAGAAGAGACACATTTCATTCGACCCACCCTCTTATTCTACATTCTCAGAAGACTTCAGAAGATATACAAGCCAATATACAAGTCAAAAACCGGAGTTATTCTATTCAAACCCAAGGAGAGCCACCAGAACCGCTAAATCTACCAAATTCATCAAAAGGAGCTACATTGGAGTTATCTAAGGAAAGGAGGAACCACATCCCATTATATTCGACTCACCATTATATTCAGCCACCAGGAGACATTTCAAGACATTCAGAATCATTAAACCACGCCAATAACCAGGAAAAACCCATCAAGACATTCATACATGCACATAGACCTATATGTGTATATTTAGAGTCATATAAGGAAATAGTGAATGCATTTCATATCAACATTTTATGCACGCCTTCCTTGAAGATTTCAGAGTTTACCAAGATCCCTAGACCACCAAACCAAGTCATTAACCCCATCAAACCAACTCAAAACCAAAAAGATATCACCATGAAAGAACTTGCCATATTCGGATTCAATTACTTGGTTCTCAAAGGAAAGGCTGACCAACGACCACTTATACCATTCAATCTCAACCCTACATTCATAAGAGGAGATCCTGATCATTCAAACCATTCTGAAGACTCAAGATTCGTTCCCCCCCTTCATGCCCCCAAATCAAGCTTCTTCACAAATCCATCATTTTCCCCCTTAAAGCCAAAACGGCTAGTCTTTGATTTACACCAAATTTTATGCTTTCTTTTATGTTTATGACTGTTTTATGTCTTTACTTTGAGCTTTATATAAGCTCATTACTTTGTATTTCGAAACCACCAATCATTTTATAAACCAAAGTACCATTTGTTTCAAAGAAAATCTTTGTATTCAAAATCTGCTCCTGCTTTTCTTCTAAGTGTTTGTAGAATCAAGCAACTAAAGATTTGTGTAGAATCTCCCAGCTCTCGTGAGGATTAGCCTTTGAGCTAGAAGAATCTAAACTCTTTGTATTTGGACCTCTCATCCATCACAAGCTTCTAAGCACTTGATTTCAAAGGAACATTACTTGAAGAATTTCAAGTATTGTATCAGCTAGTGGCCACAATGCTGCTGGACTCACCCTCTATTAGGACTGGTAAAATGTAATTATGAGGCCGCTTTTAACATCCATACAAGCCAATGTACCGGTGGTTAGATTCAACGTGATTCGCAGGGCATCTTCAAACACTGGGGTGCAATTAATCTCGGAGTCACAACTTCAAGCCTTGAAGCAGAAGGAAAAGCTCTACTAGCCACAATACAAAATACATGGTGTATGGGATATGAATACATCTGTTTTGAGGGAGATTGTCAAACTTTGACAAACCTGGTTTGTTCTAATGACCAAGACATCAGTGTCCTTAACTTAATAGAAGATATTAAACTCTGGTTAGGTAAATTCCAATCCTCACATATATTTCATGTTAAATACGAATATAATAATGTAGCTCATGTATTGGCTAAAACTGCCCCACCAAATAATGTGTTTGGTTCTGGCTCAGATTATCCTCCGTATTCGATAACAACATCACTGTATTCTGATTCTAATAATTCTATATGAATATGAAATCGCAGTTAAAAAAAAAAAGAACTGATATAATAAGTCTTGAAAAAAATGTTTAATATGATATATATTCAACTGTGTCGAAGGAGAGAAACAATATCATATGACATATTATCATTAGTTGTTTAAATTATTATTATTCTTTTGTCATTCTAAATGTTTGAAATTAATTATCTTATAGTAAATTAACTAGGTAATAACCTGCACCTTGTGTAAGGTGAAATAATTATTATTTATTTAAATTTAATATAATTTTAAAATTATATAATATAATACAATTAAATTTATATGAATTTTATCCCCTATATATTAAAAGAGAAGCATTTTTAAAGAATAATCTTAATTTTGTAAAATATTACAGTGGTGCCATTTTGCTGATGTGTCATCACCAGAATCATTTTCAGCAAAGTTATAAAAATAAACTTATGTTACTAGATTAATTACATGTTATACCACTCACATTAATTTGGTTATACATTAGTTTATATCAATTATATTGATGATGATTCATCAAAATATTCTCTTTTTTCATTCTTACCAAAAATATATCATACTAATTATTTCTTTAAATATTATATTTTATCTCTTATTTTTATAGAAAAATAAATCATCACATCATTCGTATAGTAATATATATATATATATATATATATTATAATTTGAATTTCATAAAACAAATATAAATTACTCAAATGATTAATAAATAAAAATATGTTTTAAAAGACTAAAATTAAAAATAAGGATGTGTAGATAGATGATTCATAAATCAATATAAAAATACATAAATGATAAAAGAAAAAATAAGAAGCTTAATTTAACAGATATTTTTATTTTTAATTTATACAACAAAATAACTTGGTAACAAATTAAAATATTTTTGTAAAGATATTATATAATAATTTTAATAAACTTTTTGATATTAAAAATATTTTTATTGAATCAAAAAGTTAAGAATGTATAAGCATTGACTCAGTTATATATAATTTTTAAATAATTTATTAAAAATAATAGAAAAAAATATAATCTATTTTTATATAATCTTTATGTATATTTAGTATTTAAAATAAATTTCACAGTAATTTTCTTTTCTTAAAAGTTAATATTCTTATGACTATAAATTTTGCGGGTTAATCTAAATATGCATTTACATTCGTATAAGAAATATTAAAATCGACTATGAAATTTTATAATCAAATTTTATTTTTACAATTTTAATACTCTCTATTTCCAAAATATAAGTTGTTTTGCGTCAAATCACAAAGATTAAAAAGCAACTTTTCTTTTTAAAAAGTAATCATTTAGTATATAAATTAAATATAATTTAACTAATTATGAAAAAATAAAAAATATAATCAGTCACATAGTATTCATAAGAAGTAGAAAAAAATATGAAAACAACTATATTGTGAATCAAAACAAAACTTTCTAAAAAAACTATATTATGAAACAGAGGAAGTAGTAAGAAAATTTTATTATTATCATAATGCATTAGATTTTTAATAATTTAATCAAAATATGCTCCCTTTATTTTTTTTTAAATTTTAAGATCATGTTACTAATCATGGGTTATAGAAAATATAAAGAGGAACTTCGTATTTCTATCCAGATTGCGCATATCTATTTAAAATTTTAAACTAATTTACAATAGAATTAAATTACCCTAAAATTCATACCATAAACAAAAAAAAATATTTTGTCAATATTACAGCATAATGTTATAAACAACTCATATAAAATCAGTTGTATTTTGTTATATAATTTTAAAATTATATTATATTAAATAAATTATTATTATTTTACTCCGCACAGAGTGCGGATTATTACCTAGTATAATATTATACTATAACATTGACAATATAGTTTGTTTTTGTTTTTTATGAACAAATCTTTCTGAAAATTTGATACTGTATAAGATAAATCAAACATTAATTAGAATAATAAACAATTAATATTGGTATTATCTTACCCAAAAAAAAAACAATAATGATATATACCATATTTGTCATCTAAGAATCATATATAAATTAAATCATAATGTAATATATCATATTTCTTTATATAGCAAATCTGAATATTAATAATTATATCATAATAATTTTGAAAATTCGTCATTATGACTTTTTTTTTCTTTTAATAGATGCTTGTGACGAAAATAACATATATTTTTAATAATATATTTTTGTATATATTATTATGAATTGTTAAAATATATAAACTTAAAAATATTTAGCTTGAAGTATTATATATGTTTTCACAATTATTTTCATATATGCTATAATTACAATAATATGTGAATAAAATCATTATGGTTTTCTTTTATTTGTTCTGATTGATTTTTAGAAAAAATAAAATATTATTTTTAATTATTCTGTTGTATTTATAAGAATATTTTTAATAAACAATTAATAAACATATTTTCTAATAAAATTAGTAAACATTAGTAAAGTGTTATATAGTTTGTTATGAATTTGAGGAAAATAAAATATTATTTTAATTTTTCAGTTATTTTTAGAAGAATGTTTTTATGAATAATCAATAAACATATTTTTTTAAAAAGTAGTATACATTAAAAATATTATATATTTTGCTATGAATGATAAAAATAGTAAATATTAAAAAATATTAGAAACTCTAAATATATATGGATAATATTTTTAAAATATTATATAATAAATTTCGTGTATATTATAATTAGCATTAAACAAATTTTATTTTATTAAATTATTAATTCTAATATTAGTGTATTTGAATTCATTTAAAAAAAATATAACATATTTATGGACCTAAAATATACAATGACATATTATGTAATTATTCTAGTAATCTAAGTTTTTTTAAAAAAAATAGCTGAAATTGAATGTGAGATTGACACATTAGCATAATGGCACCACTGTAAATATTTACAAAAATAATGTTATTTTTAAAAAATACTTCTCTTTTAATATATAGGGGATTTATCTATTTATTTTTTTATATCAAAATTTATCATTTGAGATAATTTATAAATAGAAATTTATTTGATTTGATTTGGATATTAAAAATGTATTAAAACTAAATAAAAATAGTGAGTATAATATTGAATTTTATTAAATAAAATTATTATAAATTTAAAAAATTGAATAAATATTGAGTAAAAGAAAAAATAATATGGAATGTTCAAATATAAAATGTAAGTTAAAACCGTTGTACATCTTAAGATCTGATGGTCCAGGTTTGTTTCAATGACGTCATCAAAACCATTATATTGCCTTCCACTCATAATTCGCCACGTTATCACGCCAGCTCGATCATCGGCTCCAGAGTCCAGAGATCTGTTTCCTAATTTTCTTTTATTTTCTCGATACGAAGAAGGTCAGAAAATTTTGCTCTTTCGGTTTCGAGAGATCAGCGAGGAGGAAGACGAAATCATGTTTTTATTCGATTGGTTCTACGGAATCTTAGCTTCATTAGGGTTATGGCAGAAAGAGGCGAAGATCTTGTTTCTCGGACTCGACAATGCCGGCAAAACCACGCTACTTCACATGCTCAAAGACGAGGTTCGTCTTTCTATTGTTCGGTTCCCTAGATTCAGTGTTCATCAGAACTTCGGGAATTCGATTTTAGTAGGCTTCAAGTCTAGTTTTGTAACGGATTATGCATAGATTTTTAGATCGAGTTATGGAGAATTATCGATAGTTTATAGTTTTGTGATTATTGAATCAGCTCATATATCAAAAGGGGTAAATAAATTTCGGATGTGTTGTGTGATTGTGCATCGAGTCACATATCAGAATGAATCTGAGATTTTTGTTGTGTGGTTGGTTACAGAGATTAGTTCAGCACCAGCCGACACAACATCCAACGTCTGAGGAACTTAGCATTGGCAAAATCAAGTTCAAGGCTTTTGATTTGGGAGGCCATCAGATTGCTCGAAGAGTCTGGAAAGATTACTATGCAAAGGTACATTCTCTCTCGCCTTTTGGATGATCTTCAGACTCTTTTATGTTTGCTGAGAGGTGTTTGTTTGGTAAGCTAAGCCAATACAGTTTATGCTTGGACCTTTAATCATTGTAATTGGCAATTATAATAGAAGCTTCGTTGGCATTTTCGTTGTTCCATTACAATCCAATTACACATTGGTTACTTTTATTTCCTTCAAGATGTTTCAATCATGATCAGATCTATTAGACCAATCATTCCTTAGTTTTAGCGGGTTATGGATGTTATGGCTTGAACCTTTTTAGCATAAAGATTATGTTGCGGACGTACTTCTTGGTAATTTTGTTTCTTTTGTTGCATTAGAATGCAAGATATGTGTAGCCATTGATTGCAACGAAATTGACCCAGTATATACCGTACCAAAGTTGTCTAAGATAAACCTATAGCTTATGTTGTATCAAACTGGATCATTCTCATATGAGTGATATAACCATGACTATGAGTTTTGTAGAGCAATGCAGAGAAAACATAGTCTTATCTTTGCTTATAGAAACTCGTTTTTGTTATGCGTAAAGGTTGATGCTGTTGTCTACCTCGTGGATGCTTATGACAAGGAGAGATTCGCAGAGTCAAAAAGAGAGCTAGACGCTCTTCTATCAGATGAAGCACTTGCAACAGTCCCGTTTCTGATTCTAGGAAACAAGATTGATATCCCTTACGCAGCCTCGGAAGACGAGCTTAGGTATCACTTGGGTCTCACCAACTTCACCACCGGTAAGGGCAAAGTGACACTTGCAGACTCTGCTGTTCGTCCGCTCGAGGTCTTCATGTGCAGCATCGTCCGCAAAATGGGCTACGGCGAGGGATTCAAATGGCTCTCTCAGTACATCAACTAAAGACATCATCGTCATTATCTTTTTTTCATATAATCAAACCAAACGAAAGAACAATTCCGTACAATTTGTCTTTTCTTGAGATAAGAAGATTTGTGAATGATGATGATATCACATCCTTCTAGGAGAAGACATGATTGCTGTTTTCTTTCTCTTTGGTTTTTTTTTGTAGTTTTGTGTTTTTTAAATTATAAGTTTGGTGACTTGCATTTTCCAAACTTGTTCATGTCTCTTGGTCCACATTTTTGTCAACAGCTTGTGTTTTATTGAAACAATTAATTCCCAAGTTAGACCAACAACCTCTTTTGTATGTACTTTCACGTTATATATTGTGTGCAATCGATTTCAAACTAACAAAATCCCCCTCTATTCGCCATGAATGCTCCAAAAGTGTTGTGCTTTTGGCTAATTTTTGCAGTGTTGCTCTTTGATGGTCAGAGATTTTCAGGTGTATTTTTGATTCATTAAAGTGTCGGATTCTTTTTATTTACTTATGAAGTGTAATTTGTTTTTTTCATTCTTATGAGATTCTTGATGCAGTCTATGCGCAGGCCGGTGGTGTCATCGGGGGCGCAGGGATTTTGGTTCAACGAGCTGCTTTCTGTTTCAACAATAACCTTGTAAGTATGATCGATGATAAAATCCACAACGAAAAAAAGAAACAGAAATATCATAAATTACCATTAATATTAGATTTTATATTAAAAATACCATTACGATTGCAGTATTTTTTTGAAAAAAATATACCACAAAACACTAAAAAATGAATTTGAAAAAGTATATAATTTAACTATTTGGGTTTTCATTTAAGATTTAGTTTATAAAGTTTTGAGGGTTTGATGTTTGGTTTTAAATTACGATATTTTTGAAGAAAAAAAAAGATTTTTGGAAAATAAAACATGGTGGTATGTATATTTAGAATAAAATCTTATTTTTGGGTATTTTTGAGAATTATCAAAGAAACAAAGAAAACACTTTCTGACAATAGTTTCTTCTCTCCATCATGTTTGCAGCTCTATAGAGGATGCAATGAAGAGTTCAGACTAAACCAAGGAGGAGAATTCAAGGTTCCACCTGGGGAAACAGACAGGTTCTGCAACAGTCCTTGTTCTGCAGAGACAGAACTCGTGCTTCAATGCATCAACAGCGTCATGTCCGATTTCGTGTTCTACAATCGGGCTACACCGAGAGATGTGAGGAACGCTCTCCGTGGTGGCTGCAGCAACTCCTTCACACGAGGTTTTGAATCATTTTACATAACATTTAATCCTTGCTCATAACCAAGAAACATGAGTTTGTTCTGTGCTTTGGATATACAGGGAACTTCAATGTAGGAGATTATGCTCAAGGTCTCTTTTTTGGCAAGGCCAAGAGAAAGCTGCCTGGTTTTTTCATTGGACTAGTTCTCGGTTTTGCGCCGTTGATCCTGTAAATCTTACTCTATACAAGAACATGCAAGTAAATGAAACCTATCATTATTTGTTACTCTGAAACAAAGATTTCTTTTTTTCTTTCACCTGAACCTTTTGTGACACGGTCTCAAATCTCAATCCTACATAGGAAAAACTATGGTTAATCGTTTACCTATCATTTAAGAGTTTGAGGCAAATTATTTACACTTTCTCCTATGTTTCAATTGCCTGATGACTTGTTAAATATCAGAAGCTGAGGTTTGCGTAGCATCGCACTTAGGCTTCTTCTTAGGCTTGTTCTTCGACTTCTTCGGGTTCTCCATGTGAGAGACCTGCACAAAAATTTGCTTCACCTTAGATTCATGCTTTACACACCGAAGCCCTTTTACATCACATACTATCCCATCAAAACCAAATCTTCAAGTTATCTTCAAACTCATATTTCTATATAAGGCTTAGATGAAAGATAAGGGTTGTAAGAGAGATACTTACAATGTGAGATTTCCACTGGACTCTCTCTAAACTACTGTCATGAGGAGGATCATCGGGAACATGGCGTAATATGTGAACCAGCACTGCAGCATCAAGAGCAGCATACTCTAGCTGCACAATTCAGTTATCATCAGATTCAGTAGCCATATAACTTAATGCCCTGAAGATATAATGAACAGGATTACAAACCTGATTCTGTGTCAAAGGTCTTTGTTCCCAATCGCTATTGCGCCTTGTTTTGTTCAAACCCACTCCCAATATTTTCTAGAACAGAACAAAGGAATCAAATAATAAACAAACGACTTAAGATATTAAACTCTTTTCGAAGATGTAATATCAAATGATTTCTGTGAACTACGAGCATGGAAACAATAAAGAAAGCTCACCTTTGTTAGTCCTGATAAGCCACCACATGTTTCTTTGAAAACATTCTGAATGTCTAGCAACATGTCATACCGCTTGAAACACTCAAGATCACCATACGAAAGCGCCAGTTGCTTGATGTCACATTGAAAGTTGTAACCTGAGGATAATTCATGATCAGTGTGATGCTCGCTCAGATAGAATCATCTTAATAAGGTATGCAAAGAAAAGAGTGTAGGTGACTCATATACCGAGCTTTAATGTTTTATACGATTGCAAAATCTGACCAAGGCATCTATCCAGAGTTTGAGAGGCGTCATTGTAAAGCTTTATCAAGTCCAATATGAAGATTTTGCTATCAGATCCGATTTGCATAATTGAAACCTGAAGACAAGACAAGCAGAGCAACGATTAGTATCTCACAACATGTTAGGAACGAGAAGAAAGAAACTAAGAGTAGTTTAACACCTTGTTTGGTTTACTTCCTTTCGTATAGTTCGGTTTCCATTCACAGTCAAGACCAATAACTTTACATCCTTTAAGAAAAGAAGTTGCTTCTCTTAACCCATTCACTTCATCAACCCAAACTACATCTTCCACAGCTAGATCGTTCAGTTGCAGAAAGCATTTGTCAACCAAACCAGCCTCAGCCTCTGGGCAACATAAAGAATATACCATCGTAAGTGTCTTGTCGTTTTAAACACACTAGGGGAAGCTCCAGGTAACAATATATATACCTTGTGCTTTTGGCAGACCTTCAAGTGAATATCGTTCACACAGTTCATCAACTTTCTCATAGTACCCAGCTTCCATTGCCAAGTATACCTTGAAACTCAAAAAAGAACTTCAACAATTTGGCAACGATACAGAACAAATGACCACATGGAGTTACAAAACTCTCTACAAGTTCTTACCAGATACTCGAGCAGCTTTCTCTCACCTTTCGCCTTTATTTCAGCAACATCCCAACATGCTTTCTCTGCTAGATCCTTCAGTGCACTGCAAATTAATTGGAAAAAGATAATCTTTTAGTGTTTATTCTGTAATATATTCAACAGGTAAAAGATAAAGCCGTATATAATGTTCACAAACAAGAGGCAAAAAGCGACTGAAACAAACCTTTCTTTACACTTGTAAGACAACTCAGGAAAATCATGCTGGAGATAGTTCTTCTTTATGACATTATAGGCCTGCTTCAGCATATTCCTTGAGCCATATTCTTGAACAAGAATGCATAAACTTGGCCTTCCCATGAAAGTAGCCCATTTCTCTGCAGCTTGGAAGTCTTTATCATCAACCATTTGCTGAAGAAAAGTCTCTCCAGGGAAGCTGAAAGAGAAATGCTCTAACAGAGAAACCGCCGTCATGAAAGATTTCGCTTTGATCAACTCGGAGATGTATCCTTCAAGAAACGCACTACCATGCCCACGCAAGGCTTCATCAATGCTTGTTAACCCAACATCAAACAGTTTAAGAGTATGCACCATTACTTTCTCATCATAAGCCACAGATCCTCCAACAATGGCAACGAAGAGTCTCGCAGCTAGTCTTCTCGCTGAAGAAACATCTTCTTCACTCGTCTGCTCAGACGCTGTCTTGAAGTAGCGGCGAAGAGAAGATATCACCAAGTGACTAAAGCCCTCACCGTATGTGCCAAACACAGGGAGCACATTTAGGCACTGAACAATGAAAGTTGCAGGACCTGGTTGAGGTTTATTGGCTAGAACTTGATGAACTCGATGCTGCAAAGCTTGGAACTTCTTTGTTGCCTTGATGCTTCCTGAAATTTAATGAAAGCAATCAAACACAATTGGCGAATTTGAAAGAAAAGAAAAAAGCAGTAAAGCTTGGAACTTTACCATGAATATAGCATTCTTTGAGAAGATATAAGAACACAATCGGAGAAACATGGGTTAAATCTGAAAACGCATGTAAAGACAGAGTTCCTTCTGATTCAGGACCACAAGCTTCTTCCTCATCTCTTAAAAACCCAGAAACAGCCTCTTCAGGATCCAAATCCATCAAAGATGAAACGCAAAAATCCTAATGCTGGCACAGAGATATAATGTCAAAAGTAAGATAATGGAGGATGAATGAAGCAGTTCGATTCTTTGATATCAATCTATGTAAAGCCAAACTAGTGATGAAAGAGCTATGAAAAAAATCTAATCTTTCGCATTTTCTCGCGATAAAGCAGTAACTTAAAGCTTGAAGACTCCAAATATGGTACAAAGATCGTATTGCATCAAACTTTCCGGGAAAATTTATTAAAAAAAAACCTAATTTTGCGCAGTTCTCGCGGTAAAGCATAATTCTTTCCGGGAAATTTCAATAAAAATCTAATTTTTCACAGTTCTCTCGCGGTAAAAACAACAAAACTTCAATCGGGTTCTCACCGGAAACTTGGATAACCGGAGAGACTTACCGGTTAGGGAAGGCCGGAGAAACGCTTGTATTGTAGAAAGAGAAGAAAAGGAGGAGTTAGGGGGGGGCGGGGGACTTTGTTGAGTTGCCCCACAATCGTATCTTTTTCGTTAACTCTGTTCCGTTCATTTTAGGGTATTTTAGTCTTTCACAATGATTAGCCTTTGCCTGGGGGTGTAAAGGGCTACCAGTAAGAAACAGCCCAGTACTCTGATTTGCTTATCTGGTCGACATAACCACACGACGAGAAGAAGCGAACCGAACTGTTTCAGCTTTGATTTAATCATCCGAAAGAACCAATTTTGATTGAATAAAACACAAGCCGTTGACAAAAAATGTGGACACATGAACAAGTTGGGAAAAGCAAGCCACCAAAGTTAAATAGAAAGTCATAAAAAAAAAAACCAAAAAAGGAGATAAGAGTCTTTCATGTCTTTTAGGTGAAGGATGTGACATCCTCATTCATAAAATGCCCTTAGCTAAAAGAAAAGACAAATTCTACGGAATTGTTCTTGGGGATTGGTTTGATATATAAAGAAAAAATAAAAAGATGTTGATGATGATGATGATGATGATGATGTCTTTAGTTGATGTAGTGTGAAAGCCATTTGAATCCCTCGCCGTATCCCATTTTGCGGACAATGCTGCACATGAAGACCTCGAGCGGACGAACAGCGGAGTCTGCAAGTGTCACTTTGCCCTTACCGGTGGTGAAGTTGGTGAGACCCAAGTGATACCTAAGCTCGTCTTCCGAGGCTGCGTAAGGGATATCAATCTTGTTTCCTAGAATCAGAAACGGGACTGTTGCAAGTGCTTCATCTGATAGAAGAGCGTCTAGCTCTCTTTTCGACTCTGCGAATCTCTCCTTGTCATAAGCATCCACGAGGTAGACAACAGCATCAACCTTTATGCATAACAAAAACGAGTTTCTATCAGCTAAGAGAGGACTATGTTTCCGTGCATTGCTCTACAAAACTCATAGCCATGGTTATATCAATGATATGAGGCTAATCCAGTTTGATAGCAACATCTGGTACGACATATAATGGCTCAGTATCGTTGCAATACTTTCAATATCTACAATCATGTTATTGTAGTCGAATGTAACAAGAGAAGTAAAATTTACCAAGAAGTATGTTTCCAACATATAATATTTATGCGAAAAGGTTCCAAACGAACGATAATATACTGAACCACTAAGAACCAAAGAAAAAGAGCCGCAAAGTTTATTTTTCTCGAACGGCTGATGTTCACAATTGATACTTAGATCAAAGACCATCATAACATCTTGAAGAAAATGTATGTAACCAATGTGTAATTGGATTGTGATGTGATAAAGAAACTTCAATCTAAGCTTCTATTAGAATGTCAACTACAATTATTTAACACAAAAGAAGACTAAGAAGTAATGAATCCGTCCAAGCAACGAATGTAATGCTTAGCTTACCAAACAAACACCTCTCAGCAAACATAAAAGAGTCTGAAGATCATCCAAAAGGCGAGAGAGAATGTACCTTTGCATAGTAATCTTTCCAGACTCTTCGAGCAATCTGATGGCCTCCCAAATCAAAAGCCTTGAACTTGATTTTGCCAATGCTAAGTTCCTCAGACGTTGGATGTTGTGTCGGCTGGTGCTGAACTAATCTCTGTAACCAATCACACAACAAAAACCTCAGATTCCTTCTGATATGTGACTCGATGCACAATCACACAACACAAAAATACGAAATTGATTTACCCCTTTTGATACATGAGCCGATTCAACAATCATAAAACCAAAAACTATCGATAATTCCCCTTAATTCGATCTAAAAATCAGCTACAAACTAGACTTGAAGCCTACTAAAATTGATTGCCTAAGTTCTGAGTAATTTTAATCACATTCTCATCGAATGAACACTGAATCTAAGAACCGAAAATAGAAAAACGAAACCTCGTCTTTGAGCATGTGAAGTAGCGTGGTTTTGCCGGCATTGTCGAGTCCGAGAAACAAGATCTTCGCCTCTTTCTGCCATAACCCTAACGAAGCTAAGATTCCGTAGAACCAATCGAACAAAAACATGATTTCGTCTTCCACCTCACTGTTCTCACAGAAGAAACTGAAAGAGAAGAAAAAAATCAGATCTTCGTCTCGAATCGAAACCACAGTTGTGTATGTACGTCTCGCATGCCCAAAATTAAGAAAATTTGGAAGCAGACGTGGCAGATGATTGAGCTGACTTGTTAACGTGGCGTATTATGAGTGGAAGTCATTATTATTTGTTGATGATGTCCTCGCTGGTTCTGATCTATTTCAATGCGTTTTGTTGGGCTGAGTAAATTCCCCAATTGCATTGATAAATTTTGGACATCTATTCACTTGCTATAGACCTCTACAGATTCAATTCTATTGGCATATATTATTATCAATAGTTAATTATATAAATTAAAATTAATTAATTTCGTTTTTATTATTATTAATTAGTAAAGTTTCTAAATTTTAATTATTTATGTTTTTGTTGTTATTAAGAAAGTTTCAAAAATTTTACATAATTATTAATAAAAACAAGTCTGAAAAGTATGTATATTATATCTTATTTTTCTGTTAATAATAAAATGAAAATTAAAAAATTATTAAATTATTAAAAATCATATTAATTATAAAAAATCATTTTATTGGTCCGCATTATTTTCTGTAATTAATTATATTTTTGAAGTTAATTATTTTCTTTTTGACTTATTAAGAAAATTTTCTATTACTAATAAAAGTTGATGCTATAAGCCTCTAAAATGGTTTATGATTTAAAAGTTTTAATTCTATTGGTACACATAATCATCTATAGTTAATTATGTATATCAAAATGAATTAATTTCGTTTTATTATTATTAGTAAAGTTTTAAAATTTTAATTATTTATGTTTTTATCTTTATTAAGAAATTTTCTAACTTTTTAAATAATTAATAATAAAAATAAATTTAAAAAGTATGGAAATTAGATCTTATTTTCCTATTAACAATAAAAAGAAAATTAACATATTATTAGATTATCAAAAATCATATAAATTACAAAAAATCATTTCATTGGTCCACATCATTTTCTGTATTTTTTTAAGTTATTTTTTTTTTAACTTGTTAAGAAAATTTTCAAATTCTAATATTATACTAACTAATATAATATATAAAGATAAGCAAATCATGTAGAATATAAAAATAAAATAAAAAAATCAACTTAATATAAAATTAGAAATCTAACACTTTCAATTATACAAAAACCATCTAAAATAAATAATAAAAAAAATTTATAAGAAAAAATCAAATAAATTGGGATGAAAAACCCTTGATCATTAATTAAAATGAAACAGAGTGAGTATATAGTACTTTAGTAAGACATCTTACAAAGTTAAATAAAATATTTTTATATAAGAGGTTATTTTTGTTGAGAACTTCATATATAAATTCTAAATTTTTGTTTTATTTGAGAATTTATATATTGTTACAATCTAAAAATGAATCATCAAAAAAATTTTAAAAACAAATATGTTTATGTGATTTATCTATTAGTAACCCAAATTGTTACCAGCAAACAGCCTCGAACTCTTTAGAATGGTTCAGATAACCAAACTGGTGGAGTTGAGTTTACATAATTTAAACTGTAAAGGTAGTCTCGAGCACCTCGTGCTAACTTGTCTGTCTTTGTGTTTTGAGCGCGTGGGATATATGAGATTGAAAAGGATTGGAATTCCTTCCTGCTTGTCTCGTATTCCTCCAGATGTAAAGCTAAAGCCGACCATTCCTTGGGTTTAGAAACCATCTTCACCAATTCGGAACTATCCGTAACGAACGCCATCACCATTTTTTTTGCATCAAGCATGCAATTCATAGCCCATATCAGAGCTTCCAATTCTGTGTGTAAAGGGGAAATGCTTCGTCTTACATTTTTTGCCCCCATTATTGTATCACCTGATTCCTTGTCTTGACAATACCATCTTAAACCAGAATTTGAAGCTATTGATTTCAAAGATCCATCTGTATGACATACTAAACCGTCATCTCCTGATGCCATCGAAAGTTGCATATATTGTCTTTCCAACTGTGGGGGATCCACTTGTGCCAAAGCCCACGTTGTTGCCTCTGCATGTGCCATTCGTAAAACTTCCCTGGGATCTCGGTCAATGTTTGAATAGATTTTATCATTTCTAGCTTTCTAGATGTACCAGAGGATCCATGGGAACACTTCCATTTCCATTGTGTTTGGTAGTTTCCAAAAATGATGTGCCATATTCGAGGATATGGCTGCCGTTGGGAATGTCATTATTGGTGTTGGTATCACTGATAATGCCCAGGCCTGAAAGGATGGCGGACATTCAAACAACATATGATTGATTGTTTCTCTTTCTGCTCCACAAGGTCCACATTGTGTGTCACAGTTAATCCCCCTGCTATTTAATCTATCCATGGCCGTTAAACAACCTGAGATGACCTGCCAAATAAAATGCTTCATATTTGGAGGACACCTGACCTTCCACGCCTGATTTTGGAGTTGACTTATATCAGGGCCGTAGAAAGGAAAATTTTCACCATTTGTTGGATATTCCTGTTCCGTAGCATATCCAGATTTCACCGTGTATTTTTTGCATTTTGTGAAATGCCAAGCACATAAATCTGGTCGTAGTACCCTACTTGTGAGAATTCTCGTAATGTATGGTATATCCTCTGAGACTATCAATTGTTCAATAAGCGGTAGATTCCAGGTCCTGGTTGTAAAATCAATCAAATTGTTAACTTTAAGGTTGGGATAAAAGTTATAACCTCGATATGTTGCTGATCTCGGGCGAGTAGCCGGTATCCATGGATCATTCCATACAGATATAGAATCCCCTGAACCGACACTTTTACGAAGTCCTTTTTTAACCAGAGATCTAGCCGAAATAATACTCTGCCATCCATAGGATGCTGAGTATGACCGAATTGGATCCATATGACCCCCATTTCGATAGTATCGTCCTTTGAATACTTGTGCAAATAAGGAGTCTGGATACTCAATAAGACGCCACAATTGTTTAGCCAACAATGCGGTATTGAAATCCTCTATAATTTGAAAACCCAGTCCTCCAACTGACTTGTATTTGCACAATTTTTTCCATGACAGCCAATGCATTCCTTGAGTTTGGCCCCTCGTACTCCACCAGAACTTAGCAACCGTGCTTGTTAATTTCTGGGTGATTGTTTTTGGGAGTCGAAAACAAGACATTGCAAAGGTTGGTATCGCTGATGCCACTGATTTTATCAACACCTCCTTCCCCCCTTTGGAGAGCAACCGTGAGGTCCATCCATTGATCCGTTTCTATTGCTTATCTATCAAGAAACTAAATATTTTAGTTTTAGCGCCCCCTAGACTTTCCGGAATTCCTAAATATGTGCCCATCCTGATTCCTAGTGTTTGATGGATCTCGTCCTTAATAGAAGAACTTCAAAGGGCACTGGAAGGATATCAAAATGATGATTCAAGAACTCATGCGGAATTGTTAGCTATAACACATGAATTACAGGAGGCATATAAGGATGAGGAAATCCATTGGCAACAGAAAAGACGGAATCTATGGAACAGAAGTGGAGACCTAAACACAAAATTTCTACCATGCATCCACAAAACAGAGGAGGACCATAAACAGATTAGTAGGTTATACAATAATGACGGTGTTTGGGTGGCTGGCGAGAAAAATATGGAAAAGGTGGCAGTGAACTATTTTGAGGAATTATTCACTAATTCATTACCTACATCCTTCGAAGATGCTTTAGAAGAGGTAAAAACAGAGGTAACCGTGGAAGATAATGAAGGCTTAACAAAACCAGCAACAAAAGAGGAGGTTAAAACGGCTTTATTCATGATGCATCCGGAAAAGCCCCAGGGTCGGATGGATTGACAGCACTCTTCTACCAACAATCATGGCACATAATCAAAAAAGAAAACTGAATAAAGATATCAGCTAAAGCTCGTGGAAGAGATGATGGAGAAGGATGAAACGGTTTTGCATGATCACTGCAACTTCCGAACAAAACTAAATGCAAATCAACATGAATCATGAATTATATATGCATTGGTACATAACATCAATAAAACATTCAATAAATACTAAATATTTAAATCTTTAAAAAAACTGTAGAAATCATATGAAAAACAAAACAAAATACCAAGATTTTAGCAAAGAAATTCTTCAAATCAAATGTATGTATACATCAAAGTTGGATAATTCGATAGGTGTCGTTGTTATTATTTTACTTAATAAAAAAATTTATAAATAAAAATAGGAGAAAACTATATTTTACAATTTAAATTCTCTTATATAAAAGAAAATTTCTATAAATCTATTATAGTTTTAATAATTTAGAAGGTTGTAGACTAAAAAAATTAAACCAAACTATTAATACAAACTCGCACGTAGCCCGAGTTATAAACCTAGTACTATATATACGTTGAAGCCTTATGCCATTAAAAGCATCCACTAAGGATGAAAAAACACAATCTGATTGGTCCACATCAGCGTTTTTCATTAAACACAAAAATATTAAATATAATTCGTTTTATAGATGAAAAAAACAAAATAAAAAATCTTATGTAATAAATATAAAAGAAAATGATGTTGAAAAAAACAAAATATTGTGTTTTTCAAAATTAATTGAAAATTAAATATCAAAAGAGTTAAAGTAACAAAAAAACTAATAACGTAAAAGTTAAAACATATAATATAGATTACGAAACTTTCTTATTCTTAAATTAATTGACAACAAAATATTAAATATTAATTTTATTTTATAGATTGAAAAATTGAAAAAACTTAAATAACAAAGATAGCAGAAAATTATGTTAGAAAAATCAAACTATAGTATCCTCACATTTAAATTAAAATTTTATGTCAAAAGAGTTAAACTAAAAAGCAAATCAATGTCGTAAAAGCAAATTAACTTGATATCTAAAACAAAGAAATTAACTTAAAATTAATATAAAAATTAATTTAACAAAAAAAAATATTCATATAAAAGAAATTAACTTGACGTCTATATATTTTTGAAATCAACAACAAAAGAGGTTAATAAAAAAATAAGTCCTAAATATCCAAACATACAAATGTTTTTTTTTATAAATTGAAATAAAATATAAAATTATTATCAAAAGATGTAAAGTATCAAAATAAAAATTAAAACAATTAATTTCAAAACATTTCTGATTTCTAAAGTATTAGTATCAACAATGAAT